GACCTCAGTCGCAGTCTGGTTTAGAATGACACTCTGGAACCAGTATGGTTGGCCTCTGATTTATTTCTCAGACCCACTCAAATGGGTTAGCTTTTCTTTTAGTTTCATTGGTGAAGCTGCCGGTGTTGCTGCTCGCAATTTTTATTTCCCTGCCAGCTTCCAGTTCACCTCTTCTTTCACATTTACATTTTGGAAAGATTCTTGATTATATACATTACGCTATTTGCAGAAAGGCAGGTGGCAAAGCGTAGTGTAGAAATCCACTCTCTCAGCCCCAGATCAGCATTCTGCACTGCTCTGGTTTAACCCGAGTTTGTTGGGCATAGTACCGTTCAGGGTGCACTTGCTCAACGCCTGCTTACCCGATCTGGGAGGATTGTTGGCATCCAGACTGGAAAATGGTACTATCCTTTCTGAGTGCAATTCAATTTAGAAGTATAATGTTGTCTTGAGAATAAAGGTGAACATTGGGAAAATCTTAATCTGCTCCCCTGGACGACTGGAGTGTGGTCTGTCTTTCTTGTGCCAAACTTTAATGTTGGACAGGATACCAGCAGAGCAGTACTGGTGCTGAGATTCCAGTGTTGCTCTCAAGTGGGTTTACCGTTTGCCACTTTTATCTTGTTTTACCAAGAGATGACCTTACGCTCCTTTTGCAAGAGGAATTTCCTTTTATTTTGACCTGCTTTTGCAGGCAGCTCTGATTTGACAATTTTAAATACTTGTACATGTGAAACATTTGTTATGCAGATACATTGCCTTGTTGAAAGTTTACTAGCTTCTTTTCTGTTATTTTAGTTCCAGGCTCTCTTCCATGAAGACTGCAAGCTTCAGTGAACATTTTAACTAACTTCAGTGGTGTGTCTACTGTCTTTTGGTTGGTTTTTGCCATTAATCTTGTAGAGCAATTTGCTAGTTTCCGTTCCGTGCAAATTGGCAGTAGTGCTAAGCTAGTAACAATTAGATGCTTATGTTGTTGGATAACTGACATTTCTTTTTAGTGTAAGTAAACATGTTAGCATTGTTAATCTTTTAATATCTGCAATAAATGTAGAACTAAACAATTTTCTGGTTTAAATGTTTTGCTTGTGAATTTGGCCATTTGTAAGAGATATGCATCATTTTGGCACTAACAAGTGGAATTGAGATTATGCAGTGTTATATTACTGTAAAGCAGGATTTTATAGCCTCTGAGGGAAGAAGGTCCCTCTGTTTCCGTGGTGCTAAATGTCTCTCTTGAGAATACCCACTAAATCATTTCTTAGTTACTTTTTCATGTGGCTTCTGGTGTATCAAATCCAGGCACAGCAGTGTTACTTTCCACATGAACACCAAAACCGTTGTACCCCAGTCAGAATGCGAGAGTTTCACCTTTTAGTCGCACGTCCCAGAAATTAGTTGTCTCTGATTTTCTTGGTGTACTGACTTTAAAATGGCAAAACTTTCTCTTTACGTATGTGTGTGGTTTACTGTTGCCTTTAAATTAAAATTCCTTTTTTAGACAGGATATGAGGGAGAAAATTGCAACGAACTGAAATTTAACACTTGTGCAGCCGCCTTCTATCGAGAGGTAAAGTGAGAGTGTTCATTTGCGAAAGCTCCCAGCCAGGTCTCCTGGCCCTGGCTTTTATACTGACAGCTAGGAAAAGCTTTACAGAGGCAAGTCTGAGCCCTGGCTACACCTTTTTCCTCCTTTTCCTTCAAAAATTTGTTATATGAAAGGACCTGGTTCTGGAAGAAAGGACATTTGCTCTCGTTGGAGAGAAGTGAGGAGATCCCCGTTTTGGGGGAGGTGCCCTAACAGAGTAAGAGAACGACAGTCAGTGATGCACTGTTTGGAGTAATTGTGTTGGACTAGTAGAGATGTTTTCATTTTTTTTGCCTTCTAAGCTTTTCTTTGGTGTAATACTGATGACATTTTTTCCTATTTATTTTTTGGTTGTTCTTTTTTTTTTTTTTTTTAGAAGACACTACAGCATCCTTAGTGTGAACACTTGAACACTTAATCTGTGCTGAGATTTATTTCTCAAAATCATTGTACCGTATTTTTTTTCTATTGATATTCCATTCTGCTTTGAAGTTAATCCTGATGTGTTGTGCCCAAAGAAAGTCTGGACTCAGAAATTCAAATATTGTTATATTGGATTGTTTTCTATCCTACAAGCAGGTATATTTTCTAATTAAAAATGAGTTCCTGAAAGTCCTGTATCATCTTTAATTCTGCATATCTCATGACTGAGTGGCCAATCACAACCAGACTGTAGATTTGAGCAATAATAAACACCTTAAATGAGAATATGCTCAAAGAACAATAGGGTACTTCTGAAATAAATAGTTTTTGTGAACCTTGTTAAGTAGGTAACTTGCTGGATTGCAGCAAGTGTGGAAGATGTTTGCATTGTCTGTGGGCAATAAAGTTACTGCTGTTGAAGAAAGCGCTAACACGCAGTGTGTTCTCTTCAGCTTCTTGTGCCTAATTGATGTCATTAGACGGTTGTGCTGATTTCCTTGAAAATTATTTCCCAGGCAAGATGTTGGTTTGAAGGGGAAGTCGCATTTTGTTATCCTGCCACTAGGTAATAAAGCGATAGTAAAGCAGTAGAGGCAAAGCAATAAAATCCAATTTTTAAAACAGCTGCCTCTTTGGCAGAGGTTGATTATAGATGATTGGAGTCGTGGGTTTAACAGAAGTTCCGTCTTTGAACAGTTTACAAGACCTAGCTCAGAAACCGAACTATTGTTGGATGGGAAAAGCCACCTAAAATGAGAGATCCTTAAGAGGCCCCACAGCACAAACAGGAGCCGAGAATCCGTACGTTCTGGCTTTATTGGGTGCCTTAGCAGTTACTGGGTGTTACTCTCTGATGCCGGTGGGAGGAAGGTTAGCAGAGGGCAGCCTGCGACGTTCTCCTGTGGCGCGTGCACTGAGCGCAGAAAAATCCATCATGTAATGGATTCATTACTGTTCAGTCCCGGTAATTAAGTCACTGGGAGGATGCAGATCAGTTCTCATGCCTATGTAATTCCCCTGCATCTCCCTTACAGCAATTACGAGTACAAACACCGGGGCTGATGGCGGCTGCCATCTGAGGCAAAGAAGAGTGGGTTTCTCCCGGGTACTGGCAGCAGCTTCCCGGTGCCGGCCCGGCGAGGCAGAGAGCGGCCGGGCGCTAGGACCAGCGGG